GTATGGATGTTGTACCTTGCAATAAATGTTCTACCAGCTAGGAATGTTCTACTAGGCATGAATGTTCTACCTGTATTGGAATGCTTCATATCTACCTGTATGAATGTTCTACCTGCATGAATGTTCTACCTGTATGAATGTTCTACCTGTATGAATGTTGTCACCCTGATCAACAGACGCGCATCGATGGTGCTTCTCTAAACACCTGCCCGCTGTGAGCTACTGTCAGGGTCGATCGCTTTACGAGCAAACAAATGCGACATTAAACGCGCGTTAATCGTCGTAATATATATCATTAAAATAAACGGCTTTCAACGTTTTGACCTCGGCACGTTGCTGGCTGAAGTGCTCGCAGCAACGATATCATACATCATGCCAGCGTTTTATACACAGAGAGCCAGGCAGAGAACATGTTCGACATAACCTATACTATCGCAGCAAGAACACGACGAGTTTTCCTGCACTTTTCTAGCACGGTTCGCGCTAGCTCTTGGCATCTTAAGGTATATAATTATAAATATTGAATCAACAATATTGTAAAATCGTGGAATGTTATCAGTTTCATCTCGGCGGGGCGTGTGGCGGCGTATAATAAGTTTAACGTCGGGTAATCCTAAACATATAGCAGGAAGAAACTGGTTTTATCGTTTACTGCATAATAGATGCATACCGCCCGTGTGGTCATATAGAAGTTATACTAACCGCGGCTGGTAAACTATAATCCACTGTAAACGCGCACTCGCACGTTGAAATTCCGATAAATATTTATTTTATTGCCCAAATTATTATCGCCCTATTTATTTTATCGCCCTTTGTGTGTATGCGCGACCTGAAAACGTCTTAAAAGTGAAAATGTGATTGTACATACGTACATTAAAAATTTCGTTTCATACCTGAAAATTTCTTAATTAAGACCTTGTAGAATTGTAAACAATTGTGCAGCTAAGAACATTTGAGGAAGACCACATCTGTTATTGTGATGCGTCTATATATGTCCTCGTATAACCACGGAGTGAGTGCCCTGGCTATTGTTATATACGTAGGTGTCGGTTTAACATAATAGTGGTAATACAGCGATAAATCAATGGTAACCTTTGTCAGTTATCGATGAGATAACTCTTTTTCTAGGTAACGTACGTGCGCGCGTACACAAACGCGCATGCTAACATGCAAGCACGTGCCTGCGTGCATGCACGGACGTACATACGCGCACACACGCACGCACGCACAAGCATACACGCATGCACACGCGCAGGCTCGCAAGCATGTACACATGCATGCATACACACGCACGCGCACCGACACACACGCACACACGCGTTAGCACGAACACGGGAAGTTCAGGTTATAAATCAACCTGATGCTATCGTGACTCTACCTCGTACCTAAGATAGAAACCAGGAAGCGACCAGTACACACACTAGCACTGTCACGCACTCACCCGACGAGTGAGAGTGCAAACAGTGTACCAGCCCCACACACGTACCTTCTCACTCACTGTCTCATTGTAATCGAGACAGACCACACTTAGTGACGGCAAGGTCAATGAGACATGTTCGTAAATTTGACTTCGCGCATACCGATTTAAATTATCGTTGAATATATAGGCCTCCCTATGCAAGTAGTTGTTGGATGGCAACTGTTATTCCGGGAGTAACGAACGCGATGCTTTTAAATATCAGGGGCCGGTTTCACGAAGCGTACTGCTCTTCTGCTCTCGAGTCTTCTG